CCTCCTTCCCCGGCAGAGCATCTGGTGGATTCGAACCGTTTGCCTCTGGGATTGTAGTTGCAGCTCCTTGCCACTAGGCCACCAGAGCTCCCCTTCTACCTAGTTAGCGTCCTGCCCTAGTGAAGATTGGTCAGTGTCTGCCTGGCACAGGCACCGGCGCCGCCTGGCCCATTCCTGACCCAGGGCTCACCATTCCTTTCCAGCAGGTAACATCAAGTTCAAGGCTAGGGGCTGCATGGCACCACATGGGTGTGCTGGGGGCTCAGTTTCCAGGGTGCATTTGGAACAGAGGAGTGCTGGGGCAGTTGGCAACAGGGGCTCTCAGTGTGAGATATGTGCTCCTTGAGGTGGAGGCGTCTACTTGCCCTGCCTGGTGGTCTCTTGTGGGTAGAACTGACGCAGCAGCTCCTTCTTGTTGACCTTCCCCATGGGGTTCCTGGGGATCTCTTCCACCAGCAGCAGCTCCGAGGGCAAAGCATACGGGGCCAGCATCCCCCTCGCCCACTCCCGAAGTTCCTGCTGGGACAGGGAGTGTCCGTCGTGGAGGGTCACCACAGCAGTGACCCGCTGGCCCCACGTCATGTCGGGAACGCCTATCACAGCCACATCTGTTATGCTGGGGTGGGCCAGCAGGTGCCGCTCTATCTCCAGAGCGCTAAGTTTGTAGCCGCCACTCTTGATGATGTCCACTGACGTCCGTCCTCGGACCCAGTACCTGCCGTCCTTGAATACGACTGTGTCACCTGTTTTAAACCAGCCATCAGGAGTGAAGGCAGCCTTTGTCTCTTCTGGCTTGCCCCAGTACTCTCGAAACACGGAGGGGCCGCGGACCAGGAGCTCACCTTCCTTCTCCTCGAAGCCTGGGCTCACCTTGGTCCCCTTCTCATTCCCTTCTGCGTGCACAATGTAGGAGCCAGCCTCCCTCTTGGGGCTCTCTGAGGCGATGCGTACCTCTACTCCGGGCAGTGGGGTTCCTACTGAACCTGGCAGGCGGGCCGCAGTCAGGGGGTTGGACAGGGCCATGCCAATCTCAGTCATGCCGTACCTCTCCAGCAGCGTGTGGCCCGTGATGTTCCTCCACTTCTCCAGCACTGGGACGGGCAGTGCGGCTGAGCCCGAGACCATGAGCCTGACTCTCTCCTGGCACATGGCCCGCACATACTCCTGGACGTGAGGCTGTGTGAAGTGCTGGTCGTAGTAGTCCACCAGCTTGGAGTAGATGGTGGGCACTGCCATGAAGACATTAATGCGTGGACTCTCAGAGCTCAAGAACTTCTCCCACACCTGCTGGGCACTGAACTCGGGCAGCATCACGCAGCTGGCACCCACCCAGAGAGGGCACAACAGTTTGTTGACCACACCATGGACATGATGCAGTGGGAGCACGTGCAGAATGACGTCCTCTGGTGTCCACGCCCACTTATGCACCAAGCCTGTCACCATGGCACTGAGGTTGTGATGGGTGCTGAGGACTCCCTTGGGCGGGCCCGTGGTACCGCTTGTGTAGATGATCATGGCACCCCGCTCCTTCCAGTTCCACTCTGTCCAGTCAGGTGCTGGCCCTTCTTCTCTTGGGCCCTCTGCTGTTCCAGTGCAGAGGTCAGGGGAGAGAGGCAGCAGTGGGACCCCAAGTCTGCTGGCCACAGGGCCTATGAGCTCCAGGTGCTCAGGGCTGGCCAGGACCACGGAACTGCAGGAGTCCCGGATGAAGTACTCCAACTGGGGTGCGGGGTGTTTGTTGTGTAGGGGGACCGCGATACCCCCGCTCATCCAGGAGGCCCACTGTGCCACCACATAGGAGGCATCATTGGGACACAGGAAGGAGATCCGCTCCTGGCCAAGGTCACGGCCAGGGCAGGCCCGGAGTCTGCAGATTTTCTGGGACAGGCACAGGCTCCACCAGTACAGGTCCTCGTATGTGTGGTGGCCATGCCGGTCCACGACAGCTGTCCTGTCCCTGAAGGCCAACGCCCGGGTGAACACGGGGGCGCTGCTATCAGGGTGCAAGGATGAGGCCGTGTGCAGAAGGCCCAAACATCTGTGCCTCTGAGAGGCTGGCCAGCCCGAGACCCAGGCCCAGGCCATGGCCAGGTGCCTGAGGGGCAGCTTCAAGGAGGGATGCATGACGCTGGTGGTGTTGTAGGCTGTTGGGCAGTCCTTGTCCTCCCGCCGCGTCCTCTCAGCGCCGCCGGTCACCCCAGACAAGTATTTTTACCTAGAAGGTGAAAGACACTTCCTTACAGAAACAACCAATACATTCACTGCCCACCTACCCTGAGCACGTGTGACTTGTCTCCACCCTTTCCCTGCTACCCCCCCATTCCTTGCACACCCAGCTACCTGGTCAAACCCTCCCTTCCCAGCCATCTCTCAATATGAACACCAGTTACTTCTGTGATGCCTTGCACTACACACTGCGATTGGTTTCTCATGCTGTTGTCTATCTCTTGTTTAAGAGGATAAAAGTCCGAACTCCATGTACCAATTTGAGAGAAAGATTTTTGCTTGAGGCTGAACTAAGAGAAGATCCTGGCCACAGAGCTTCTGCTAAGTCCTGTGACATACTGTCTCTGTTTACATTACTGACACAATGTGATAATTCCTAGGTCCAAACAGGTTTCTTCTAGATCTGATGCTGTGGTGTTGTTTGTTTGGCCCAAGGGCTGAATATCTAACATTAATACATTCATAGGGAGGTCTGGTGGCCTAGTGGTAAAAAACTGTACTGTAATTCCAAAGGTGTAGAATTTGAATCCACGAACTGCTCCATGGGTGAAGGATGAACAATCTCCTCCCATGAGATTTACTGTCTCTGAAGAACCCTCTGGAGGGTCAGCAATGGGATGGCTCCAAATCGATAGTACACAACAACAATATAGTCACATTACAAACAAAATTCCATGACTCTAAAAGTGATCCTGTCTAAAGTCCAATGTCAGATAAGAGCTGAATACAATCTGATTATTGTCCTCTCCATACTCTTGACCTTTGATGGATAGAAAGTAGGGGGCTGCTATCTACAATTTCCAATGATGGTCTCTCAACATTACACAGGAACAAAAAGGCAGAGAAACCTGTTAAGACTTTGAGATATTAAAACAATAATAAATACTGTTGTCCAACACTACAATTCAAAAGCAGCAAGTCTCCTTCTATCATCTTTATTCATTTTTCAACTTTCTAAGTGTGAACTTTCTTATTTTATTTGGTCACACAACAAATATGTATTTGTTCTTGTTGTTGGTGTCAATGAGACTACAGCTATCGATACCGACTTCTATGAACAACAGATATGCCCTCCCTATACTTCAACATCCTCATAATCTCTCTCATGCTCAAGCCCATTGTGGTAGCCACTGTGTCAATCCATTTCATTGAAGGTCTTTCTCTCTTTCACTAACTCTCACCTTTCCCAGCATCAAGTCTCTCACCGAGGACTGGTTCCTTTTGAAAATAGGCACAAAGCAAGTGAGATGACATTTCACCATCTGTGTCTTTAAGGAATATTTTGGTTGCATTTCCTTCAAGGTCAATTCACTATTGTTTTTTCTGTCCATGGTATATTCAATATTCTTCACCAAAACTGCAATTCAAGGGCATCAATACTGACATCCTTCTTTACTGCCCAACTTTTTGATGAATAGGAAGCATTTCAAAAGACCACGGCTTGGATCAAGTGCACTTTAAAATGACATCATTGCTCTTTAGCACACTGGAGAGTTCCTTGGCAGCAAATATTATCAGTGCAACACATCTTTTGATTTCTTGACTGCTGTTATCCTAGGTGTTGACTGTGGATTCAAGTTAAGTGAAATCGTTGACAACTTCAATCTTTTCTCCATCTATCTCTTACAATGTTGTTTATTGGGCCAGTGGTGAGGATTTTTTTTTCTTTATGTTGAGATGCAACCTATATTAAAGGTTGTTTGTTATTGTTGTTGTTAAGTGTCATCAAGTGACTTGCAACTCATAGTGACCCTATGTAGAACAGCTCTGAACTCCACTCTATTTCTTGCCAACCTCATCATCTCCAACAAACCCATCCCCATTACCCAAGTCACTGAGTCAATTCATCTCATCGAGGGTCTTCCTCTCTTGCATTGTTCCACCACCTCCTTAAGCATGACATCCCTCTCCAAGGACTGGTCCCTTTGTGCAACATGCCCAAAGTATGTCAGAGAGAGCTTCATAATCCTTGCCTCCAAGCATCAGCCTGGTTTCACCCTCTCTAGGACAAACCTGTTCTCCTAGAAGTCCATGGTATTCAGTACTCGTCTCCAGCACCACAATGCAAAGGCATCAATCCTCCTTCTATCATCCCTAGTCATTGAAGGCTCTAATAGTTTATTTTCTATAGCAAGTGATTCAAGTCTTCTTCACTTTTGAATAAAAGTCATGTTATCTACATAACATAGGTTGTTGAGTCTTGAGGCCACATTCTTCCTCAGGTAGTCCATATTCTCGAAATTTGTTCAGAACACAGACTGAATAAGTCTGGAGAAAAGATCAACCCTTTTGCACACCTTCTCTAATTTTAAATAATGAAGTATTCTCTTGTTTTCTTTGGACAACTGCCACTTGGTCTATGTATTGGTTTTTCATGAGCACAATTAAGTGTTCTTGGATTCCCACTCTTCTCAATGTTAGCCATAATTTATTAAGATCCACAGAGTCAAAGTAGTCAATAAAATACAGGTAAGCATCTTCTGGTATTCTCTACTTTCCACCAAGAGCTACATTACAAACATCTATCTGTTGCACTGTGGGAGAAAGATAAGCACTCTCCTCCTGGGATGATTTATAGCCTCTGAAATTCATTGGAAGGTCAGCTATGAGTCAGTCCTGATTCAAAAAGCACATAACTCCAAAATATGAGGATATAGCATAGAATAAAACATAAACTGAAGATTCAAAACTACTTTTTGAGAAGTAAAAGTCACTGCTGTGGAGTCACATCTGACTCATTGGATTTTCAGAGGTAATAAATTGCATAGTAGGAGAGTGCCTATCTTTCTGTTGGAGAGTTTAATAGATTAGAACAGAATATCTTTGGGTTTGCAGCATAACTCCTTACCCACTAGGCCACCAGAGCACTGCCACTGCCACTTTTTTTTTCTTTTTTCAGAGTATTAATTTAGCATAGGCCAAAACATTAATTCAAGACTCTAAATGGATTTACTTAATAATTCAGGGCCTCATCATGAAACTCTCTCTCCATTTGTATGGATATATATGATAAAAATACTTATTTATGAGATAGAATTGCATTGTAAGCTAGGAAAAATCATATCTTTCCTCCCCTAGTCCTTCTCTCTACCCAGTTTTGAGATTCTAAGATTCTTCAGAATTTATATTTAGTTTGTCGTTTCTAGCTTTAGTATTACATCAGTCTCATATCCATCTTTACTACTGAAACTGCTCAGAATTCTGCCTTGAAGCTAGGATTTGGACATAGTTGCATGATTAACAAAAGAGCTGCTTGGCCTGATAAACATTTATAGTGCCTCCATTGATACTTCATTTGATTTTATTTGGAACACAGCTGCAGGCTGTCTTTGGGCAGGGATGGCAGGGCTGAACCTTGGTATGCGGCAGTAGGAAGCTTGGCTGCCTCCACGAACTTTGGAAAGTGCTTAAAGAGTAGATCTGGGCTAAAGCCATAAAATGTCACACTGGCATGCTCTCATTTAACACAAACTCAAGAAGGGTCCTCTTTATTTGTATAAAAGATTTTATCTATCATCCATCAATCTATTCAGCCACCTACCCACCTATACACTATTGCAGTTAGGTATCATCAGGATGACTATTACTCATAGTGTCCTATGAATAACAGATTGAAACCTTGCCCTATCCTGTGCCATGCTTACAATCTCCACCATGCTGAAGCTAATTGTTGCAGTCACTGTGTCAGTCTATTATCTTGAGGGTCTTCCTCTCTCTCTGACCTTCAACGTCTCCAACCACAATGTCTTTTTTCCAAGGACTGGCACTTCCTGACAACATATCCATAGTATGTGAGACTAAGCTTCTGGGTTGGTTTTGGTTGGTTTTGTTTTTTCTTGCTTACTCATCTCTTGCCTGAGTTAATTTACACCAAAACTCTGTAAGTTGTTGTGTACAGGAGAGTTGGAACTGACTCATAGCTGACCAGCTGGTGGGTTTTCAGAGGCAATTCATCACACAGGGGGAGATTTCCCATCCTTCTCCCAAGGAGCAGCTGGTGGTCTCAAACCACATGCCTTTAGGATTGCGGTGCACTTCTTGCCTCTGTGTCACCAGAGCTCCCTCAAAACTTTACATATAAATAACAAAATTTGAGCAAAAATGAGTCAAACTGTGAATAAGGAATTATGGGTGGGGGAACTCAACAAAACAAAGAGGGGAAAAATATCTTTTATGTTTTCAAAACTACTCCAAGAAGTTTTTCTTATACAACATAAATACTTGGACCTTGGCACTGGCTGATAGGGGCATGTCTAAATCATTCCCATAGTTAATGTGGACACACCTTCTGACCCAGAAGTTAGAACATTTTAAGACATGTTTGCTGTCACACACACTAGCTCAGGAGAGACTGAGCAAGTCTTTTGACCACCTTGGGCTCTGGCTCCTTCTCAGGACCTCTCCCTCTGCATTACTAAAAGAAAGTACACATGTAAACTGTACAGGAGGCCTGTTACAAGCTGGTTATGATTTCCAATGAAGCAGAATTATGTAAGCAGATTCAGAATTGCCCCAGCAATTGCTGTAGTCTCCAGTTCTGAGGATGTGCAGCCTCTCCCTATTACTGTGTCAGTGACAGTCTTCTGAAGAATCTGAGTAAGATGGTCAGACCTTCTAGAGGACATTCAGGCTAGTAGGTATATTTATCAGTGTATTAAAAGATGATGAATTCTTTCCTGTAATCATGTCCTGACATATGCCCACTAAAGTCTTGGTGGTCTCAGGAATGGGACAGCCCTATTTTATATTGATCTTGACATGCTTTATTTCCCATCAGATGGACGTTTCTTAAGGAGGAAACTGTGAACCAATTCAAAGTGGATAAAGGGTCTAGGACTCAAACCAAGGCTATAAACTTCATTAGAGAAAAGCTTGGAAGAACCCTAGAAGCACTAATC